TCCAACTCCAACTGCAACTTCTTCTCGCCAAGGTCCGAACTCTTCTCTCTGTCGTCCGGGGCTGAACTCTTCTCTCTGCCGTCCGGGGCTGAACTCTTCTGCCTGTTTGGCCTGCAACTCCAACTGCATCTTCTCATCGACTTTCGGGCTGCAGCTCCAACTCTTCTTAGGCTTTCGGGCAATTTTCTTCACTTCGACTTTGGCTGGACGAACTTCTTCACTCCGGATTCTCTTGCCCGCAAAGGGGCGAATGAACCGGACCCGACGCCCGCGTTCAAGCTCCCTCGCTGTCCGCGGTCCAGCTGCAACTGATTTCTGTCGATTGGGGTCCTGCTTTTATAGACGCCGCAACTAACCGGGGTGGGTCTGTCGGCGCCAGGGTTTTCTTGATAATTCCAAAAGTCGCATTATTTCTGATTTCCCATTATCGCTCTTACTTTCACTCCTACTTCCTCACAGTGCCTCTGGGGGGGGGGAGGCGCACACCCGTTTCCCCTGGTCTCTCGTATGTCAGGTGACCGCTTTCGACCAATGGGGTCCTGGTCGAGCGTCCTTCCCCTTTCGTCGCACATCACGTGACCGCTCTCGGCTAATGAGATTCTGGTCGGGCGTCTCTCCCTCCTTCGTGACGTCTCCAATCGGGCGCGGTCAATCCGGGGCTTTGTTCTGGGGAAGAAACACCTTGTTTAAAAAAACAAAATTTAAATTGTCCTTTTCGTACGCGGTATTTGTCAAACTAGCCCGCCGCTAATTAGATGTGACTTCAGGAAGAATTTTTTCGCCCTGCTGGCGCTCTCTGTGAAGCTAAAACAATTGCTTTCACCTCTTTTCTTTCCTCAGGCCTGTTAATAAAATTTTAATTATCTGAATTGAAAATATCTTCCACTCATCATTTTTGGGTGGTCCTTTTTCAACTCTAGAGCTGGTCAGGATTTGTATACTAATGTATACAATTCCAGCGGTCACTTTTTCAACTCAATGACACCCTTTTCGATTGTCACTTATTAATATTTTTTTCCATTGTTCTAAAAAAAACCATTTCCTCAACCAAATTGATAATGAACTCCCATACTCCGCGGACACGAATGTAGGTCAGGTGCTTTGACCGATATCTGGTATTTATCAATCGTACGTGTGCCTATCCGCTTGCGGCCCGTCTTGATGTCATGTCTTTTCCCTTTTTCTTTTCTTTTTATTATTTCTAAACTCTATTCTTTCAAATAACAATTTCTATTTCCTGGATTTCAGTCAGGTACTTTGACCTGGATATCTTTTGACACCTGTTTTTCTTATGACCGGGTTTTGTATTATCTATTCCTCTTTCTCTTTCTTTTTATTATTTCTTTTTTTTTTATTTGTTTTTTTTTTCTTTCCTTCCTCTTTCTTTCGGATCGCCTAAATACAATTAGAGAATTATTCTCAAAACTCAATTATTCTTCGTCTCTAAATAACTAACAACTGGTTAATAAACCGAATAAAAATTAAATCATATTTCTATGATTATCTCTTTTTAGTTTTCTAATAATGCAGGGTGCCACAGTTCTTTGACATTTTTTTTCGCTGACTCATGCAAAGAGCAAACGATATGAGTTCCCAGGTTCACGAAAAATCATTCCGAGCCTTATTTTATTCCAATAAACTCGCTGGACAAAAATGTCGCTGTCTGTCTTGATTGTGTGTAAATCTTTGAATTTCACTTCTAATTTCATTTACTTTTTGTTTCTTTTTTTTGTTGTTGTTTTAGTTGGTACAAATAGGTCCTTATGAAATATGTTCTGAAGCCGAGATGCCAGACAAGGGCCAATAACATTGCAGAAATTTGTTCTTTTTTTTCCTTTTCCATTTCTTTATTATTTATAGTAATTAAAGTGAAATTAGTTTTCCTTCTTTTTATAAACTTCGAATTTATAGTTCTTTGACATTTTTTTCTTTCGCTGACTCTTGCAAAAAAAAAAAAAAAAAAAATGACATGAGTTCCCAGATTCAAGGTCGATGTTGTTTTGTATTCAAGAAGTGCAAGTTGAAAGTTTATATTTCACTTTCAACTCTGGGTGCCTCCACACGTTGTTCATGGAATTCTTGTAAGCTGCTTGATTGTCTTTTTGTTTGTTGAATTATTTTTTTGTGAGCGTGCAATAGGAATAGATAAGCTTGCCTATGGCCCAGTCAATACTCGTTCCCTTGTCTTGAACAGGATTAGTGGCTCATCCCTTGTTTCCTGTCTAGGAAGGGGTTCCCAGATCTTTTCCTTTTCTCTGGCCTGCGGTAGTAGTACTGTCGTCAATCTCTTGTAATGTGTGCAACCTCTCTTCATACACAAAGTACCGGGTTGACAGTTTTCTAGTTGCTGTTCCCAACTGGTAGTTAGGAGCACGGGCTTTTACGTAGTGCCTTGAGCGGCTTCTCTGATCAACATTTGCATATTATCGGGGTGCTTGTAGTGCCATGTTGCGCATGGAAGGGTATCCACGCACGCACCTCCGGTGGGCAAACCTGAGGCCACATTATGTTGCAGTATGCGCCAACTGCTTTCTGTCCATGTCACATAAAGATGGCCTTCTGCTTCTTTTCATTTCCATCATAAACCAACATGACCATAAACCATAAAAATCCTAAACCAGCTCTAAATAAATCACCTAAAGACTTTAACATTTCTTTTTCTAATATCCGTGTTATTTGAACCAACTTCTGCAGTGTGGAATCGTTCCTTTTCGAAAAGTCTCCTGATATACTAGGTCTCTGCGAAGCCAACCTTAATTCATACATCCCCTCTTCTGATTTCTCGATTCCTTGTAACCTCTCTCTCCTTAGAAATGACTCTAAAATCCACATGCGTGGCCTGGGAGTTTATCCCCGGGACCATCTCGCACTGGCTAGAGAACTCTCTCTCGAATCTCCGAACCATTCGTATATGCCTCCGTCTATCTCCCCTCAATTCTGTAAGCTATCTCTTCTTTTTTTACCGTTCTCTTTTATCACGAGACTGTGGAGTTCTCGATAGCACTTCCGACAATATAGACAAGGCTATTTCTCTACATCCGTTTGTACACGTATTCATGTTCGGTGACTTTAACGCCCACCATAACATAAAAAAACAACAGTGGCTCCTAGTGCTATTAATGCATTGCTCTTCAACTGAATTGAGCTCTCCGTGCCACTGGTGTATTTCGTATAGAAAACGTTAAAATTTCCCTTTCTCTCCCTTGGGTAGGATCTCTGACTGATGCCAAATCGGTCGCACGTCTAGCCACGCTGATGAGCTATGTTACAGCGAAACAGTCTGTCTGTGGATGACAATATATATATATAAATATTTCAATAGTTAAAATTTTTTTAGATATAGTTATTTTTTTTTTAAACAACATCTAAAATATTATTACAGTTAGATTTACGTTACGAATATTCGAACACAGTGGCGTTCCATATCACGTGACGTCCGCATCTCGCGACGGACGCTACTTGTAAACAGTTATTTTCTGAAGAAAGATTGAGGTCAATCTGAAATATCAAATATATATATATGAATAAATAAATAAACACTTTCATAAAAACATTATTTTTTTTTAATTTGCAACATTTTATATATATATATATATATATATATATATATATATTTCATACATGTTTCATTAAATAATATAGACAAGTGTTGTCTATTTATTTTATGTAAATTCTTTTCATAACGTCTGATAAATTTAATAACATTATCGTTGAACGAAGAAAGAAATTCACAATATTGATCCATATTTTTTTTAATACAATCTAAGCTTTCGGCTTACATAAGCCATTATCAAACATGTCAATTACAACATATTAAGCAATATACAGACACGACAGTGATGATAGTCTGTCATTGTTTAAACACGTGCATATAAGACGCAAGAAGCGAAAATCGCACTTCATCTCATGACGTCACACATGACCACGCGAGAGTGAATTGGAGAAGTATGAAGTATGGGAAGCCGTTGGTATATATATATATATATATATATATATATATATATATATATATATAATTTTTTTTTACTATTACCTTTAAATCTTACTCCATCTTGATTTGAAACTTAAACTTTAATTAAGAAATATTACCCAGCTAAAATAGCTTCAGATTAAATTGATGAATTAGACTCTAACTAATAAACATTTTGCCTTAGCCGTCATTCACAATATTAAAATATTAGTAAATTTTTATTTTTATTTTCATATTTGTTTATTAATAAAATATTCAGTTCATATTAAATCCATAATTTATTTCTGGAGAAGTTAAATATTTAAATTGCTAGCAAGCATTAAATCTAATTTCTTTGTGGAGTTTTTAAACATTTAAATTACTATCAAAGCTTAAGATCTGTGGTTATCTAAATTGTTAAAGCTATACCACCCTTCTCCTTCCTCCAAAACCCTACGTCCATCTCTTTACTTTCCCCTTTTTCTTTTACCCTTTTCTTTTTTTCTTTTTTCCCATATCACTTCCGGTGAGTTGACCGATTAAATGGTCCAATGTCTGATCTTTGCCCCCTCGTTCCTCAATACTAAGTATTGTAATAAAAATAAAAATGAATTTTAAAAGTCTCCCTTCCCTCTCTAAAATCAACCATGTCTCTCACACTATACCTCACCACTCTCTATGTTAACCTTATAGAAGCTTAATATTGCCCTTCAAAAGTGTAAATTTTAAATTCATTGAAAGTGAAGTCTGAAGATCCAGAGAAAAATAAAATCTCTGGTGAAATAAATTATAACTAATGTAACCTTAAAATGGTCTGTTTTTTCCTTTAAATTAAATTATGCGCTCTGACTTAACTTTGAGCTCTCCCGATTTCATCCTCCTTGGGATTATCCATACGGATTACCAAGATTTTCGTTACTATATATATATATATATATATATATATATATATATATATATATATAAATGGAAGAGAAAAAGTGTGAAATAGAAAAAGACATATGATTGGAATAGGAAGAGAAAGGGTGACGCGAAATAAAGAGAAGGTTACGAAGAAAGAAAGAAAGAAAGAAAGAAAGAAAGAAAGAAAGAAAGAATATCAGTTTTCAACAATGGCAGATTTGAGGCGTCAACATCTCCGGTGACACCATCACTGATGCTTTTTGCATATGGAGAAATACGCATCCATTTTATGTGACAGAAATAACATTAAATATTTTGTAGATTTTTTTAAAAAAATCCATTGTTTCTTTTTTTTGTTATTTAACTACATGTATAAGAGCAGGAAATCTGTTTGGGGGCGACAAATTCCTTACGATCTCTTCTTAGATTCTAGATCGTTTTTCAAACACGAATACGGGAGACGTACTGGTGGAAAATTAATTCTTATTGAACACAAATACAATTTGTGTCCATTTCTATATCCAGGACACATTAATAAGAAAAAAAAGCAAAGATATGAAATTAAACATCTATCAGAAAAATGCAACTTGAGCTTAAACCTTTTTCGCACGTTCAAGTTAGGGGAATCAAGATTATACAATGGCACTCGGAGGACGCAGTTGGCCGCAATATATTCTGTGTTAATGTATTTTGCTTTTTTTTTTTTTTTTTTTTTTTTCAAGAAAATTCATTGAATCCACATTCTCACCAAACATACTTCCAGAAAGGTTACACGTTGCTTCTTGTTACTTCTCGTATTTCATCACGAATGCCCTTGGGTCTCTGCTTCTTGCGGCTTGCAGTCGATGGCACTCATCAAAAGGGCCAATATCCCTCACCACACTAAAAGAAAGCGCAATGTAGACTATGCATAACACTCTGTCATAAAGATAACAAATCGTTTACAAGGACAGAATTGTATTAAAAGACTGAAAACTCACGTAATGATTGAGGAGTCTAAGGTTTGAGTACCTTTTAAAAAGAATTACGAAAAGCTAAACAATATGTATATATATATATATATATATATATATATATATATATATATATATATATATATATATGTCTGTGTGTGTGTGTGTGTGTGTGTGTGTGTGTGTGTGTGTGTGTGTGTAAGTATGGAGAAAAAATAGGAAAGAACACGTTAGGTAAATAGTCCGGAGTTCCTTAGTATTTTTGTTTTTAATTTTAAGAAGACAGTGCTCCATACAGAAGTAGAGCTTATATTATAATATTTCTTTTTTGAAAATATGTTTCCTTCGCTATATAAGAGTTCTCATGTTTCAAAAACAAGAGCCGAAAACCATAAATATAATTATTAAAATTAAGTTGAATTAAGGTGTCGAGTCCTGTTTCACCCTCAAGCGATAAATTTAGAATCCTGAATTTTCGCTTTTTTCGTTTTTGAAGATGAGAACTCTTATGTAGCGAAGGAATCATATTTTTTAAAAAATATTATATATATATATATATATATATATATATATATATATATATATATATATATATATTTATTTATAAAAAATATGATTCCAACTCGCGACATAAGAGGTCTCATGTTTCATAACAAGAGCCGAAAACTTCAATATAATTATTTGAATTAAATTGAGTTAAAGTAAGCTCTGTTCCATCTTCAAGCGAAAATTTTTTGGAATAACGTATTTCTGAAATTTACGTGTTTTAATAATTGAAATCAAAATTTCCATGGTAACAGCTATTTTCACACACACACACACACACACACACACACACACACACACACATATATATATATATATATATATATATATGCCGGGTGTAACAGTTAAAATTGTTCAAATCGTGTAACACCAAATTTATCCAACTGTTAGATTAAGCTCTGAACCGTTATATCTTAGAAATGATTAAAGATATCTTACTGGAATTCTCCGAGGTTCTTATAACACTATTGGACTCTACTTTGAGCAATAAGAATGTTTAATTACTCTCCAGACGTGAATCGTGATGAAATCGATCATAAATGAAAATGACATGTTCATCATTAATTAATCATAGCTAAGGATCGGAAGCTCATGATGGATTGAAATAAGTTCAAATATACATATATTATTCCAGGATCATTTTCCAATTGATTGAAGATGATCTTCAGCCTCTCTACCCTTCTAAATTTCTGTCCTGGAGTAACAAGTTGCCTCACAAGTTTCACGTACGATTTCTTTCTCAAGTCTTTTTTCACTGCCCTTTTGAACTGTCATAGCTGAAACTTCTCTCTCACGTCTTATGGATTGAGTAAGATCGTTTCTAATTGATCTCTTTCGTTGAAATGATGATCCCTGTTCCTGTTGTGAACTCCTGATCCAGTTTGTCTCTCTACTGTTCCCACTTCTTTTTAAAAAGTTATTCACCATTCTCTTGATGATCCTTGAAAGGAATTTGAAGATGGAATCCAGAGTATGAAGGTTGGTTCCATTACTGAAGGCCTGAATCATCTTTTTCCTCTCACCATTGCTTATTTAGGAAAACAGTGGGTCTGACACAAAACGATTTTAACTTACGCAACTACCGAGTATAATAGCAAAATTGTTCAATTGTTCGATTAAGCTCTGAATTGTTATATCTTAGAAATAATTAAAGATACTTTAATGAAATTATCCTGTTTTTTTTATAACACTACTCTACTTTACTTTGGACAATAAGAATGTATAATTACTCTGCAAGGTTAATAGAAGAATCGTGATGAAATCGATCATAAATGAAAATGACATTTTCTTTATTAATTAATTATAGCCAAGGATCAGGAGTTCATGAAGGATTGAAATTAAGTTCAATATAGATGATGGATTCTCCAGTCGTTTTTAACGAATGAGAGTCTTTCAGTTCACTTTTTAATCCTGTACCTGTTGCCTTAACTCTCTCTCTCTCTCTCTCTCTCTGTCAGGTGGAATAGTAAAGAAGGAACACAGAACTTCAACTATCCAGATGATGAAGACTTCTCCACAGTCGTTTTTAAAATAAAATACTGATAACAAATTGGTGCAAATATTTGCCATGAACAACATCTCTCAGGTTTTATCACAGAGTTATACCTCACCAGTACTACCAGTGCACAGAAGAGTAAAGCTCCTTTCAAGGAGATATATATAATTATCCCATCCCTATAAACCACTTCAGCAGGCAGGTTACATCACATAATATATATATATACACACACACATACATTACTCTCCTGTACCTGTTGCCTTAACTCTCTCTGTCCGGTGGACTTGTTGCTCAGGTGGAATAGTAAAGGAACACACGGGACTGAACTGCAGACTAACCACACAAAAGATTTGTTTAGAGTGGTGAAGGCTTGTGTAGAACCAGCCACACTTATTGAAAATACTGATAACAAATTGGTGCAAATATTTGCCATGAACAACATCCCTCAGGTTTTATCACAGAGTTATACCTCACCAGTACTACCAGTGCACAGAAGAGTGAAGCTCCTTTCAAGGAGATATATATAATTATCCCATCCCTATAAACCACTTCAGCAGGCAGGTTACATCACATAATATATATATATATACACACACATACATTACTCTCCTGTACCTGTTGCCTTAACTCTCTCTGTTCGGTGGACTTGTTGCTCAGGTGGAATAGTAAAGAAGGAACACAGGACTGAACTGCAGACTATCCACACAAAAGATTTGTTTCGAGTGGTGAAGGCTTGTGTAGAACCAGCCACACATATTGGAAGTGCTGATAACAAGGAGTTGGTACAAATATTTGCAACGAACACAATGAACAACACCCCTCCGGTATAACCAGTGTATAGAAGAGTGCAGCGCCTTTCGATGGTAATTTTCACATGATTTAGCGGTTTACAGGGTTTGACATGTGGAGATTTAGGGAATGGGTGAAGACCGGTGTTGCTTGTCCATCTTAATAATAAGATGCAGCAGCCGAGTAACAAAAATACTACTTCTACCCACTGCCACCTACACGCATAGAACATACACTGGATGTCGGAGTAAACAGTTCGTTATCAATGCGCAATATACTGCTACAAAATATAAATTACTATAAAGTATAGGAGAAAATTTTATTATTATTATTATTGTTGTTGCTTAAAATAATTGAAAGATAAATAATAAAGCAAATTGACTAGTAGTTAAACGACACAAAATAACGTTATAAATGGGAACGTGTTTTCAATAAAATTGAAATTACGTTAATTTGCAATTAAAAAATGAGAAAATGTAAAGGAATGGAATTCATACTAAATGTTGTAAAAGAATTTTTGAATATAACTAATAATAGATTAAAAACATCGGCGATAATGAGCCACTGGTCAAAGATAAACAAAATAAAAATTACGAAAATGCTTTCCGATAATTCCGAAAATTACGACCACTTTCTTAAAAACAACAGATAAATAAATGTTACGCGTAGATATAAACAGATTAAAATTATTCATGCCATTGTATAATTAGTCTAACAAATACAATAATTAAATATTCTTAACGTATATAAATCTTAGCGAGAATTTTCACTTCACAAGCAATTGTTTTGAAATAAAAAACAAAGAAAAAAAAAGAAGAAAAATCGTTGTATACCACGACTAAAGACTGATGAAAATATGCAAAAAAGTTTAAAATACGTATATTAAATACTGTAAATGAATGAATAACATAACTAAATATTATTATATAATAAATAAGAAAAAATATAAGAATAATATATGATTAAAATAAAAAAAAAAACAATCGAGACTTTCCTTAAAATTCGCTTCGAGCCATGAAAAAACACGTCCGTTTACTCCGGCATCAGCGTTCTAATATATATATATATATATATATATATTATTCCAGGATCATTTTCCAAACTTATTTATGATGATCTTTGCCTTCTTTTAATTTCCAACTTTCTCTCCTTGACTGACAAGATACCTCCAACGTTTCACTTACGATTTTATTTTCAAGTCTTTATGCACCGCTCTTTGGACTGTCATAGCTGAAACTCCTCTCTCACATGCTAAACGTCTTATGGATTGAGATGGATCTTTTCTAATTGGTCTCTTTAGCTCTGTTGAAATGATGATCCCTCTTGCTGTTGTGATATCCTACTCCCGTTTTCTTCTCTACCGTTCCTTCTTTTTCAAACTTATTCACCATTCTCTTGATGGTTCTTGAATGGAATTTGAATATGGTACCCAGGGCATGAAAGTGGGTACCATTACTAGAGGCCTGAATGTTCTTTTCCCTATCTGTGTTTTATAG